CATAGTCTGAATTCCTGCTGCTCTGAGGGAAGGTAGCAATGTTTGCTTGGCTGGAAAACAGCAGAGCAAGGGGAGTTTTGGTGGGATATTTCTGGAAAGTTGGGTGGAAATTAATTAGGAAATAAAAAAATTCCCACGATGTTGCCTCAACTCCAGAAATTGCTGTGTAGATCACGTGGAAATTAGATATAATCCAAAGGAGCCGTGGCAGCACTTCATGAAACCATGGAATCATTTAGGGTTGGAAAAGCCCTCTGAGATTGAGTCCAACCATTCCCCCAGCCAATGTCACCACTAAAGCATGTCCCCAAGTGCCACATCCACACATCTTTTAAATTCCTCCAGGAATGAGGACTCCACCTGCCAGGACTGGGCAACCCTTTGGGCACTCCTTTCATTTGCAAAGCTGAGGCTGGGGAATTTGGGAGAGGCTGAGTGACCATGTGCTGGGTCCCAACCCAGTGTCCCAATCTCAAGAAATCCATCTGTGACAGATCCAGGCGAAGAGAGGAAGATTCTCAGAAATCACCAACTTCCCCCAGTGTCCCTTGCTGGAGGACACTGTCAACCTCAGATCACACACCTTGTGACAGAGGGAGTTTTTTCCTTGTTGGAAAAGACTAGACTTTTTTGACTTCTTTTTTTTTTTTTTTTTTTTTTTTAAGTTTTCCTCTTAAAATTGTCCATATTTTGTGGGGTTTGTCCTGTCTCACCAAACCATCCTCCTGCATTACCGCTCAGCCTTGCAGCACTTGCCTGCACATGCAGCCCTGTTTGCCCTTTCCTCGTGTGAGACCATTTCACATGGATTTTGTCTTGGAAGTTCAGTGCTGGGAGTTTTCCAGCGCATGAAAAAACTACTTTGGCGTTGTCATTTCACTTTCATATCTGTGTTATTTTTTTAATTCCTCTCCAGAATAGGTGGATTCATTCAACATCAGCACAGAGAGGGAAATGCCCTTTTTTTTTTTTTTTTTTAAGCCCAGAAGGAAACCGATGCTGAAACCTCCATCCTGACCCCGGGGGTGGAGGATTTGGGTTGGGATCGGAACCTTTTTCATCACATCCAACCTCAGCGCTGCAGCTCCCACCGGTGCCCGGTGCAAGATGCTCGGAGGGACAGCAGGGGCATCGCCTCCGGGTCCAGCCCTTCCCTTCCCGGCGGCGGCGGGGCTGGTCGGGGCACTGACCCCAGCGCCGGGGAGTCTGGAGCGGAGCCGGCGGCCGCCGCTCCCCGCCGTCAGCCCACACCTCATCAATAGGGGCTGACAGCCCCGGCCCCGCCGCCCCGACGGCACCGCCGACGGCACGGCACGGCTTGGCACGGCCCGGAGTCAGCAGGGAGACCCCTAAGATGGGTTTGGGGGCAGCCCCATCCAGCCGGGATGTAGCGGGACAGCCACGGATCGGGGGGGATACAGGTAACATAGCTTGTCAGGGATGTAGGGGACCCCACAGGGACAGGTAAGGATATATGGAGCATAAAGACAGCAGATAAACATGTAAGTGAGACAGGTATAAACACATGGATAGTTATCTATAGATGAAAAAAGAATAGGTATTTTGGCAAGTAGGTAGGCACAAATAGGTAAATAGACACAGTAATGCCTAGAAAGTGACAATAGGTGTATGGATGCAGGGATATATGGCTGGAAGGATATATGGATAGATGATGGATAGGTGGATATAGGGATAGCTGACAGATAGATGGTTACATGGATAGAAGACGGAGAGATGGGCAGTGATACTGACTGAGGTTCTGCACTGCCAGGGCTCCAGCCCGCGCATTCCCAGGCAGCTCAGCTTTTTGCCTGACGCAGGAGGCTTTTCCAGCCTCTCCGAGAATGGGAAGGGGCTTTCCATCACTTCTGCTGTTGCTACCAGACACGAGGGGCTCTGTCGGGGCCAGTCAGCACCCACCGGCCAGGAGGGCGATTTCACTGCCGGTGTGCTCCACATGTGCGGTTTTATTGTCGCTGCGTCAAAGGGCCATGACAACAATGACAATAAAACCACACGTGTGGTGGGAGGTGAGAGTAGGCAACAGGAACCCCGGCGGTGACGCACCTCTAATCACCCCCAGCGGGTTCCCCCTCCACCACGGGGGATGCTCGCCCACTCCTCCCTGTGCTGGTGGCCCCGAGGAATCCCCCTGTCCACGAGTGACGTGCTCAGAGGATCCCACGCAGCCATTCACGCCACGGCGGCGAAGCCCCTCTCCCCCGGGGGGAGCTCCCTCTGTGATGGGCTTTCACGTCTCCCCACCAATTTAAAGGATTCTGCATCAGGGAATGCAGAGCCGCAGCATTTTAGGCTCAATTCGCTTGATTTTGGCGGCAAAACCGAACAGGAACGCAGCACACTGATCCACGCTGTGTTTTCAGTGTCCTCTGGGGCACCTCTGTCCCCTGCAGCAGGGATCCTCCACGCACAAGCAGTGCCACAGACACGGGTGGTATCACAACTCCTGCGGCCCCCCTTTCCTAAAGATCCAAGTTTGAGGTGGGTTTTGGTTCCTGACTCTCCCCAAATTGCCCTGGCACTGACCCTCATAGTTCAGCCTCTCTTCGCTCCTGCTGCATCAGAGCACGGATCGCTGCTCCACACACCTCTGCATCCCACGGCTTTGTCCCTGAGGAAGTCGTTCGTATTTATTTCCACTGGAGGTAAAAAAGAAAAGGAAAAAAAAAAAAAAAGAGGAAAACATAATAATATGATATCTGGGGGCATAGGGGGTGGTCAGAAAGGATTTAGAAATGTCCCTGAAGCATCGCTGAGCTGTGACGCTCCTTGGACATCCTTCTCCCGCGGGTAGTACCTGGCCTTTGGGAGGTGGGAAGTGTAGGCGGGGGGTGGTTGGTGGCATTTTAGGATCACTGCCGTCCTGTAAACAGATGTGACGTTTGTTTAGGGAAGTGTCTCTGAAGGTGTGACAAGAGACTTTCGTGAGCCGGGGCAGGGGTGGCAGCCACAGCAGGGTCCCCTCCTGCCCACACAAGGCGAGGGGGTTGTCCCATTGTCCCACTGGTCCCCTACAGCCGTGGGGAAAGTTGTCCACAGTCACTCGTGGGGCTTCCTCGGGCTGGAATGTTTCTGTGGACCAGGGTGCAGGGGGTCCCTGGACAGGGATGAAAGGAGTGCAGGGAGTCCCTGGACAGGGATGAAAGGGGCGCAGGGGAATGAAATGGGTTCCGTAGGCAGGGATGCAGGGGATTCCAAGGGCATCCACGAGCAGGGATAAGGGGAACGCAGGGATCCATGGGCAGGAGGTTCAAGGAAGTCCATGAGCAGGAGTTCAGGGGGTTGCAGGTCGGTCCGTGGGCAGGAATTAAGGGGGTGCAAGGGGGTCCGTGGACAGGGGTGTAGGAAGGCGCAAGGGAGTCCCAGATTAGGAAGTCCAAGGCTCATCGGGGAGAAGGGTTCAGGATCTATCCCCCAGGAGGGCGGTCAGGTCCATCCCTCCCCCAGCAGGGCTCCATCGGGGGGTGACGCTGGGGGATCCCCCCTTTGTTGGACCAGGGGAGGGCTGGAGCAAGCAGGGATGGGGGCAGCTCCCCCTTGTCCATCCCTAGACCCCCGTGACGGGTGGGAAGGAGGAGGGAGGAGGCGATGCCGTCCCGAGACGTCTCCGGGATAGCAGGGAGCCTCATCCCCCAACCCAGGCCACCCCCTGCTCCCAGGCCGGCCCGATCCTGCCGCGCTGCCCCAAAAACTCAGGGGTACCGCCTCGTCGTCCCCCCGCCCCGGCTTGGGACCCCCCTTCCCATGCCCAGTTGCACCGGCTGCTCTGATACAAGACGGGGCCGGCTGCAGCTCCATATCCCGCGTACCTAGAGATACCTAGAGATAGATACCTAGAGATAGATACCTAGAGATGATCTATACCGCCCGCGAGGGCATCGATACATTGGAGATCGGTTTCTCCCCTTCCCGGCTACCCCGGGGTGGCCGGTCCTTTCCCGCAGCCCTTAACGCCCCCCAAGCCCCCTCCTCCAGATCCCTTCCCGGCCGCAGCCAAGGCATGGAGTAAATAAAATAATTAAAAACATCATAATAAAAACCCATAATACTGGTGTGTGCTTGACCCAACAGCCGCCGGCCGCATTTATCCCTTTTTCTCTGCTAGAACCAGATTTCCTCATTGGTTTTTCCTAATTTTTAACCGATTTTCCTCATTATTTTTTTAAAAAATTCGATTTTCAGAGAAAATTTTGAGTCAGCTTTCCTCCCATGGTCCCTCCACCACCCCCCTCCCCCAGTTGCTAATGTGTTTTCTTCTTTGCTTTTTCTCTTTGTTTGCCTTTTTTGTTTTGTTGTGTTTTTTGGGGGTTTTTTTGTATCCATCAACAACCGAAGTTTTAACTCTAAAACCGCCGCGGAATTAATTTCGATACGGAAAAATAAATTAAAAAAAAAAAAAAAAAAAAAAACCTTTAAAACAAAAAGTACCCGTAGTATCGATATTTTTCCTGTCTGGAGAAGAAGGGGAGACTGGAAAGGAGAGGGGCAAAGTCGAGTTTTGTGCTTCTGGGTTATTTTCAGCCGGATTTCGTTAATCGCGAGAAAAAAAAACACTCCCGAGTGCGGAGCAGAGCTTTTTTTCTTGTCGCTGCGTTTTGCTGTGTCCCATCCTCTGCTTTTTTTTTTCCGGGAGAAAAAGTGTCCGAAATCCATCCTGTGCCTCCCGAGTTACACCAGTCTGGGTTCGGCTCTGTTTCTCACCTCTTGGATTTTTGGGATGAGCATCCCCGCGATTCGCTGCCCAGATCGATTATTTCCCGGCGGAAAAAGGCTGGATCCGGCCACGCACACGCAAAACAATCAAAGGGAATTGCTTTTGCATCTTTTTTCCTGGAAGTCGCAAAGCCAGGGCAGGTCCCTGAAGTTCACTCTGCTCCCCGTGTTGCTGCTCGGGTGAGTTTAATCAGTTTTAATTGGTTTTTGTTTGGTTGTTTTTTTGTTGTTGTTGTTTGGGGTTTTTTTGTTTTGGTTTGTTTTTTTTTAAGGAAAGCGCTGCTATCCTGTAGAAATTCAACGAATCTTCAGCAAATCGCTGCTTTGGGAGAGAAAATCGTCAGGGATTTTGCAAAGGAGGGAAAGATGCGTCTCCAAAACCCGGCACATCTGGATAGGCAGCTGCTTCGGAGAAGGGATATAAAAAGAGACACCGACATATATTTAATTCTCCTTTCTTTCCCTGCGTGCCGATTGCCCGATGTTCATATGTGTATTTCATGTATACAAATATTTTTATATATACTAATAACCTGTATTTATATATTTGGATATTATATATTAATTTTACATACGTTATATACATTTATATTCATTAATTTGTATATTTAAAGCATATTTATATATATTTAATAGTTTATATATATTATATATATAAAAATTATATCATAGCATGTTATAAATTATAAATTATTACATGTTTATATGTAAAACACACTCCTTTAAATTAAAATATACATTAAGTCCCATCTGTACTCAATTTTTTTATCGATATGTATATAATTACACACTAATATTTTTGTATTTACACATATTTATATTTTTATTAAATACTCATTAAATACTTAGTTTCCCCAGGGTGCTTAAAGTATAAATATCCACAGTGACACCAATGCTGACGTTTACTTGCTATGTATTTCTGCGTCTATAATTTTATTTCTATACATGTCCATAATTATTTTCATCCCGATATTTGCGTTTCAGCAGGAATTCTCTCCTGCCGCGTTTTTAGCCTCTGTCAATGCACACCCGTATCCCCCTTTTGGGGTTTGGGGGAGTCCTTGTGCCCCTTCTGGATTCTCCGGAGTAATAAGGAGACTGCGGGTGGCTCCCGGCAGAGGATGGGGGGATCCCACGTCCCCGGGGACCCATTCCCGACCCTGGAGCACTCCCCAAGTACTCCCTTCTCTTTCCATCCCTCTTCCATAAATCGTTTTCCCCACCCCCTCTTCCCTCCCCACCCCGTTTGACTCTTTCGTACCGAAATTTTAAATTCTAATTTAATTATTTTCTTTCCAAGCCCAAAAAAGGTGCTTCCAGCCTCCCGCCCTCCCCACGCGGGACGCCCAGATTTTTCCACGGGAAACCCCGGAGTGTAGGAAATATTTAGGGAATGAGGGTTATTCCCGGGGAACGGGGCAGTGGGAAACTGCCATCCCAGGAGTGAAAGGAGCCCCCGGGAGAAGGGGGACAGTGGAAAGGGGACTGAGCCCCCGCCGTGGGTTCTGTGCCCATGGGACCCCAAATTGCCCCATTCACCTTTCGAGCCCCTGCAGCACATGGGGGGGGCAAGAGATGGGTGCCCAGTTTGAGGAGGGCACCCCCAAACATGCTGCGATGACGGGCAGAGCAGCTGCCGCCTCCCCATTCCACGATTTGGGGCCAAGATTTGAGGCAGGAGCTTTGGAGAAATCCCCCCTGCGCGATGTCCCCCAAGGAAAGGGGTTGTCTCCAAAGGGATTGGGAAGCTGGGGTGGAGGGGAGGTGGTGTCCGTACCCCTCAGGAAACACCCCTGATTGTTTCAGGGGGCTGGGCACGGCTGTCTCTTGGGTTCACAGGGGATACGACGCTGCCCGGCTGGACTTTGCCTGCAGCGTGGGCCGCCCGTGGGGCCGGCCCGTGGCGCTACTTTGATTTTATTATTTTATTCCCTTTTTTTTTTTTTTTTTTTTTTTCTCCCCCTTCCTTCCCAGCAATGAAACCTGGCGCCCGGCTGATGGTGCAACAGATACCAACCACCCCCCTCACCCCCGCCTTTCCTCCCATCGCCGCCCATTTCCACGTGACGTGGGCAAACCAGTCAGAGAGTGGGACTGGGGAGCCTGGGCGTACTGGGGAGCCAAGGAGGGGGGAGACAGAGCCCCGCTGCCCCTAAGCCCCCCCAAGAAGCAGGAGCCAGGCATGTCTTAGCCCTGTGCCTTCCCCGCAGCGAGGGGGTGTCCTGCCCCGCGGCCTCGCCCCCCTCCACCCCCTTTTCCCCCCAGCACTGAAGGTGGGTAGCGCTTCCCTGTCCCCTCGCTCCTCTTCCTCGCTGTCACGCCGGGACCTCAGCGAGCCCCTTCCTACAGGCCTCCCCGAAAGCTTCCTCCTATTGTCTCCTCGGGCTTGAAAACGAACTCGATTTTGGTGGGTTTTTGGTTGATTTTTATTATTATTATTGTTACCATTCCTGTTTGTAAAGCAGGAGGGGAGCTCGCTCCTTTTTCCCGTCCTGTGGAGAGTCCTGTGGAAAAGCTCCGTTCTAGGCCGGGTTACACACCAACCACCCCCTGAGTTTCAGGGGGACACGGAACTCCCTTAAACCCCCTTCTTCCCGGCTCGCTTCCATCCTTACCCCTTCCCAACGCTGCCTCCGGCTTCTCTCCCTTTCCTCGGCCGCCTGCCCGTCTCCCGCTGTCCTCCCAGGGTATCAGCCCTTATCTCCCGGTTATCTCTTCTGCTGCTAAATTCGGCCCGGCCCAGGGGTTCAGCCGGGGGAATCTGTTAGTTAAACCTAAAGCAGTCCCAGGAGTTATTTCTCCGGCCATAATTTCCCCCCACCCTCAAACCAGGCCTTCTCCCGGTGTGAAACGATTTCCAGAGAATCCTAGAACTCCAGAATGGTTTGGGTTGGAAGGGACCTTAAAGATCGTCCACTTCCAACCCCCTACCATGGGCAGGGGCGCCTTCCACTAGACCAGGTGGCTCCAAACCCCATCCAACAGGATCCCTGCATGACCTCCAGAGAAAACAGCATCTCAAATTGTCTTACGCCCTTCCCAGACCCTCCTTGGGAGGGACGTTTCCCCCTGACTCCCTTCCATAAGTGTTTTCTGGGGTCTTGCCGTTGTGAGCTACCCATAAGGCCCCGATGACATCCCACAGCCCAAACCCACCTCAAATTCCCCCGGAGGAGCACAAATCAGAAACCAATTCAATATGAGACAAAGCAACCCTCACCCTCCCCATGTCCCACGGCTCCTGGAGGTACCTCCCCCTCCAGACCCACGGCATTCCTGGTCCCCAGTGGGTCACCTTCCTGTGCTCCCAGCTTCTCCCAGCTCCCCAAACTGAAAAAATGGGGGTGAGAGACAAAAAACACACGGAAGGGAGAGTTTTGAGGGTGCTGCTTGGGGTCTCCTCCCCACTTTGGGCAACACTGATGGGGTGCATCGGGTAATGCCCCCCTCTCCTTTAAGCCCCCCTCGTTCACGCATGGTCGGGCTTTGGGGGGTGCGCACACGCGTGGGGCAGGCACGGAGTGGGAGGGTCAAGCCGGCCTTCCTCCTCCTCCTCCTCCCCCTCCTTTTTCCCCCCTTTTTCCCTAATTTAACTCCCCCCCAGCCCTCCTCAGCCGCCTCCCGCCGCCCACATCAAACGCCGGCCCCGGGGGCCATTAACAACTTAAAGCACCGATCGTACCTGCGGGACAAAGGTTTTTGCTCCAGGCCACAGGAGAGAGCATCGCTGTCTCTCACCTTCCCGGTTGTGAACCCCCTCCTTTCACCTCCCCCCTCTTCTCTAACCTCCTTATCTCCCCGCCCCGGGGGGGTCCCGGCCCGGCCGCCGCCGCATCCCTCATCCCGGCAGCATCTTCCCCTGCTCCCCCGGGGGGTGTTGGACGGGGCGGGGGGGGAGGGAGGAGACTGACCGAGGGTTTTAAACAGCCCAGCCCCATGGTGGAGGGCGGCGGGGGCGGGAGGTGATGGATGGAGACCGGTGGGAGCAGCTAAATCCAGGCGGGAGCTAAATCTCCCCTCCGGAGGGACCTGGACTTCTTGCTTGGGGTCTGGAAGACTCGGCGGGGACCTGCTGAAGGTGGGGAAGGTGGGCGGTGGGGAAAGGGTGGTGGTGGAGGAAAATTGCATCGCTGGTGGTGTTTTGGTTTTGGCTGGAAGGCTGTGCCCACGCGAGACCGCTCCGGCCACTGCTCACCTCGGGGGAAAGTGGAGCCGGGGGTTTTCCGCCCGCTCCCTATCGCTCTGGATCGCGGCCGGGGACCCGGCTGGGGTTTGGGGAGGCCCGTCGCGACATGTACCAGAGTTTAGCCATGGCAGCGAACCCCGGCCCTCCGGCGTACGAGGGGGCAGGTGGCTTCATGCACAGCGCGGCCGCAGCGTCCCCCGTCTATGTGCCCACCACGAGGGTCACCTCCATGCTTCCCAGCCTGCCCTACCTCCAGAGCAGCGGCTCTTCCCAGCAAGGCAGCCCCGTCTCCAGCCACTCCATCTGGACTCAACCCGGAGCCGAAAGCGCCGCTTACAATCCTGGATCTTCTCACCCTCCCGTGTCACCTCGGTTCTCCTTCTCCACCAGCACCCCCATCCCTGCCACTTCTTCCCGGGAAGCGGCGGCGGCTTACAGCGGCTCCTTGAACCTTTCTGCTAACGGGAGGGAGCAGTACAGCAGGGGCTTCGGCAGCTCCTACTCCAGCCCCTACCCGGCCTATATGAGCCCCGAAATGGCCACGACCTGGACTTCCTCGCCCTTCGACAGCCCGATGCTGCACAACCTGCAGAGCCGAGGGACGCCCGCGGCCGCCCGGCACGCCAACATCGGTGAGCACAGCCGGGACTGGCACAGGGGAGGGAGGCTTTCAACCCGTCACACCCCCCCTAGATTTTGGTGCACGCACCCCTCCGTGTGTAGATTCAGGATGCGCGAAGGGCAGGAGGGAGAAATTCGGGGTATTCGAGATGTCGCTGTTGGAGCCGCCTCTCCGGCTTCAACTCCTCTGTGCTGTGGTTGCCCCCCTGCACACACATTTACTCTGAAAAAAACATTTCCAAATATCCTCAAAGAATAGAGCTGCCCCAAAAATTGATAAAGATGAAATAAAATTTAGGGTAGGCACGGGGCAGCAAGGAATGATGTGACGAGCTCTGGCGCCAAGGCCCTGCTGGCTCCACAAATAGCTCCGAGGAGATTTGGGGGCTGCGATGGGGATGGTCGTGGTCTCCAGGCAGCCCCTTCCTGAGCAGGACTTAGGTGTAAAACGGGAAAAATTTGTTTGGAAAATCCAGAAATCAAAGTTTGGTCTGAGAATCCCAGATCTTCCCTTTGGGCTATTTTACGTTCCGGCCTTTTTGAAATTATTTTTGGGGAGTTTGGTGAGGCTGGAGAAAGGGAGATTGAAAGGAAATTTAGAGCTGAGGTGGGAGAGACGATGGACAAGGAGAAAAAGAAATGCATCCACATTTATTATCCTGCTTTTTGGGGAACTCAGGCACATTGGAACAACACAGCCCTGTATTTCAGCGACTCTTTGGTCTAAAAATCTCAACCCTGATCTCTTGTGCTGTTCCCAGTATTGGAGCCTTTCATTTCATTATGCCTCTGGTTCCTACTACCAAAAATTGGTCCGAATGGCTTAAAATATTGCTTTTATTTTTTCCTAGGGTGGAAGGGGGATAAATGGACAGAGAAATGCGGGGCACAAATTCGCATTGAAGCTTCATAAAACCTTTTTTCCTTCCCGCTTTCTCTCAGTGAAGGTGTTTCTGTCAGCTTCGGCGTCGGGGTTAACAAAGAAAATGCCTCAAATTTGTCTGCAGATATTTTTTAAGATTGTGTTCTTAAGCCTGAATTTTGGAGGGTGACTTTTTCATCGTATCTAGCAGGATTTGCTTTATCTTTAGCATTATTTTAAGATGCTAAAAGATGGAAAGTTGGGCGTCGGTGAAGGCTTGGCCTTGCCAATGTCTTTTGCTTTTCTTTGGGTGCTAAAAAATTGGTTAAGATGGGGAACAGATTAAGGATAAAATTTTAGCCAGGCGGTAATGTTTTCGGGAAGCCATGAGAAAGTGATGGAAAGCAGAGGAAAAAAGCAGGATGAATTAAATAATCAAATATTAATTGAATACCAGTGAGGACATATGAATATTTGCATCTGACTGTGGTGCCATCTGTTCCTTGGAAAAAAAAAAATTCACTTTTTTTGCGGTGGTCTCAAAAGACTCTTAATAAAAAAATAAATTAAACCCGAAATAATGTTAATGAAGAATTGCATTTGAAAAATACCCGGCAGATTTTAAAGTTCCAGAGACTGACTGTGAGGTTTGGAACCCTGTGGTTTGCGTTGCAGGTCTTCATTTTGGTGGCAAAAAGTAGGCTTTTATCCGGGCTTTTAAATAGTACTGGGAAGAGGGGATGAGTTAAACCGGTCCAGAAAAGGGTTGTTAATGAAAGAGGAAGGAGAAGGGACTCCCCTCCATGGCCAGGTCCTGATTCGGGTGCGGGATTCACGGGATCGCCGCGGGCAGCGCGGCAGAATCCGCGGGATTCATTAGCACGGGTCCGATTACGCCTCTGCCTTGACGATGGAAAAGCCCTTGGATTTTAAATCAAAAGTGCTTGGGTTTTGATTTTAAAAAAATAATAAATAGATGCTTCCTGAAAGCTGGGAAGTTTCAAGTCCGGGATTAAGATGGATTTTTGGACGGCAGTTCCTCCGGGGAGCAGGACTTGCCGCTTTCCCTCTTCTCCCGGAGTCGGGACGCGATCGCTGCCGGGTCCCTCCTCGACGGCGGGGCGATGCTTTGCGCAGGCTGTGGGTATCGAGGGGGTTGTGTGAAGCGTGTAAAGGTTGGTTGGGGGTTCTGAGTTTGGAGAAGGGTTTTATTTTAATGATTTCAAGAGTAAAAAACCCTGAAGGCACTGAAAGATGTAGTGATGGGTGGGGGGGGGTGTGTGGAAACACCGTTGTGGATTGCACCCATCACAGACCCATTTTAACACCACATCCGAGCCTGGTTCAGCACCTGAGCAGTCCCCGCGTGTGGAATCGACTCCTTCTCTGCCTTTCCTTAGGACTAAAGATGTTTTTATTCTCTGCACAATGAGGAATCTCAAGGTGGAAATGGAATCTTTCTCTCAAGGCTCTGTTAGATCAAGCAGTATTTGCAGTGTTCTCGTTTTCTTTTCCCATAGAACCACCACTTCTGGATAGTGCTAAATGCAGGGCACCCCTGGGGCCACTGAAATTTTAATTATTATCATTTTTAAACAATAATAAAGATCAAGTCTAGGCAGGTACAGCCGAATATGCAGACACAGATTCACAGTCTATGCAATTGGGCATGACATTTTTTCCCTGTTATATATGCTCCTGTAACACTAAAGAAACACGCAGGAGAAAGAAGTTTAGTGAAAATGTATTCGGAGAAATTAACACTAAAAGAAATACAAATTTATTTTTTTTCCCCTAAAAAAAAAGGAATTTTGGCTTGGTTTAAAATGTGTCACAGAGCTCTGGGAAGGTTGGGTGGGTAAACTACAAGGGCCCACTTGAAAAACTTCCCCTGGTGTGAGTTCAAAATGCCAAATTTGGACTTTTCAGCGTAAGTTTGGTGACTGATTTCATTACCCTGCAAAGCAGGATCAGACCATGCGGTCGAGGCAGTGAACTTGCTCCAGGCATTGCCTGGGATGGAGTTACAGTGAATTCCCGACTTAATGAGGCATGAAAAGGACTCGCTGCAAAGTCCCATTTCAAAAGACTTCCTTGCCAGTACCAAAAACCTCTCGAAATCTCTCCCAAAATTAGCCTGGGTGGGCAGTTTGCCTCTTCCCCTTTCTCCAGGCAGAGGGAAGCAGGGATGGAGGGCGGCACGGGAGTCTGAGCGCATCCAGCCCACAGTGATTTGCTGCCTCCTGGATGTTTCCAGGCTGGGAATAGAGGGTCAGATTCCAGTTTGCCATCCCCACTCCCTTTAATTTTGCCTTGCAGCGGAGATTTTAATTTTGCTGTGGGCTCAGGAGGTTGGGAATAAATCGGGGCGGGAGGCTGTGGGCATTCCTGGTGGGTGCTTTTAGTTTTGTGGGGGTTTTGGCTAAGTCGAAGTCAGGGCTCCTCAAACAGGCACCGCTGGAGCACAGTAACAGCATCTGGGAAGATCAAAGCCCGGAGCAGACGCTGGGCTGGAAAATGCTGGTGGTGGGGGAGATATTGGGCAACAGATCTTAAGCTTTGCCATAGGGATGCTAAGAGATTTGTCCCGTCGCATCCCGGAGCCGGCATTCCCAGTGATTCACCGGCATTTGTTACAACCCTCAGCCCTACGAGCAGCCCCTGACCTTCCCCGCGCACCGAAGGACACCGTGGTTTGTCCCTGTGGGGTGGCAGGCGATGAGGGGGCCCAGAACCTCTCCCGTCCCTGCTCCCAGAGGGATGGGACCGTAGGATGGAAGGATGGAGCTTTCGGATGGAGGGTTGAGACCGTGTGGTGGTGGGATGGGACTGTAGGATGGAAGGACGGGGCCACAGGACGGAGAGATGGGGCTGGAGGATGGCGGGAATGGCTGGAGGATGGCGGGATGGGGCTGTGGGACAGCGGGATGGGACCGTAGGACGTGTCTGCATTTCACCCGGGATCCTACATCCCCTGTTTCGCAATCGGTTGCATTTCTCACCTCGGGGGAGGTTTGCCCAGGGCTTTGTTCCCCTCTGCGGGTTTCAAGCCACCTCCTGCTCTCCCGCCTAATTTA